CACATAGAAATAACAAGTCATAATTAACAATATCCAAATATTCAGTTAAAACATAATAATTTTCAAAATACGAACTTCATATACAATTTTGGTTGGGAGATCATTAGCATCGATATACCACCATTTTTGTTAGCACGGAGTCTGATCACGCTCGATCGGCTAGGCCATCTCCCCACAAATAATGTGGTTTGACATGTGATGCGAAAGAAAGTTTTTACCAAGAGTAGTACTACCATATGCGCAACATGGCGTCTGAACTCCACCCGATCAGCTAGGCCACCTTCCCACATATGTCGTGGGGGTTGACTTTTCCAATCCACAGAGGTTCCATTTTCATCCCAATTAAGGGGAATAATATCACAATTTTTCAAAGGTTCCAATTTTATCCCAAATAAGGGGAATAATCACAATCCACCCCTACACCGGCACGTGCAGTTTCAGGTGTGGGTCTTATGACCCACCCTTCCTCGATTTTGCTAATGATGCTCCCAAAAATATTTTTGATTTGATTTGCAAACAAAAATATGATAAATACAATTGTACTCACCTGAACATCTTCCACATTGTATAAATTCTCATTAGTATTCCCAGTCATTCACAATGACAATATTTCCTTGGCTCATTAGGCCATTCACAAGATTTTTTATTCCTAGCACGATGGCCGTATTTCATATTCCACACTTTCACCTCTTTCAATTTCAAAGATCACCATCAAGTATCAACATATAAGATATTTCAGAAATCATATACTTCAAATCCATTTGAAATGGAAACTTCAAACACAAATGGTTTCTTCCCAAAGAATGAGGCATACCATCCAACAATAGAAACACACATGAAAATCATAAACAATCAATACATCATTTTTTCTTACAATGCTCTTCCCTAGCAATGACAATGTACCAGTTCAACACATGAGTATATATAACTTGAATCACACTAGATATATTTATAAAGCAAAGCATTAGTTAAAGCAACCACTAATGGGCATGAATTGAGTACAAAAGCTTTTAGGTAATTCTATCTTCGAAGTCATTTTTAAACAATTGAGTCGAGGCTCATTTCACATTCTTTATCGCATCTTCTCAAATCATTTGCACTACTAGACACAATCATAACTTAAATTCTTGGTACGTTGGCCACACTCTATATCCCCATTTAACTTATTTCACTTCCAACTATCTTTATAGATTATCAACAATAAGACATTTCCATATCAAGACTTTAGGTACACATATGAACAATTAAGAGTCTTAAGAATATTGAGATTTCTCACAAAATTTGGCATACTATCTTTCATTGAAACACGACTCAAAGCCATAACCTTTTAATACGCAACCCATACTTTGAAACTTACGAAAACATTATGGAATTCAATTTCAAGAGAGAAAGTTTAGCCAACATACCTCAACCGATCTTCCTTAACTCTAGAATTATCCGGAATTCTTAGCAATCCTAATCTATTTTGAGGCATAACAAAATTGAACCATAATTAGGAAGATATTCATGGTCTCAGCTTATTTGAGCATTTTATTAGACACTAGGTGTGCAAATTTAACCACAAGGTTCATCTACAAGATTTCCTTTACTCCACAACCCAATCCTTACTTATTTTAGCTCAACAATCTTCCCACAATTCTTATTGGTACATGCATGAATTTACTCATCCTATGACCTTGAAGGTTTAGGATTACTTTATGCTGATCAAGTGGTATGGTGTGATGTGTATGCCATTTAGCGACCATGGTGGTTATAATATTTTTTATCTCTATTGTAGAAAGGCTTGGCTAAAAACACTGGCCTTTTCTCAGCAGATTGAGCATCAGGGATGCTAATACCGCACACTGAGAAAGAGCCAGTGAATTAAGTAAGCTGAAACCTGCAAAAAAGAAGATAAAGTTAGTGAGGAGGTCTGTTACTATATCCTTCTCCCAGTGGGTTTGAACATATTTCATTTCTTGCATAAATATGCTCCCATATATGATCACAATAATTTGGACTATTAGGTCTGCTCCCCTAATTTCATTTCTGTCATCCATATCCATGTGAGGAACTGGAGGCCAGTTGTGGTGGAATTTTGATCCTCCTACTCATTTTGTGTCTGAAGGAAGGAGTGCTAATCTTATCCATATAGATCTATCCCCTTATATGAATAGGCAACTCGGTCATGTTGTGGTAATGAGTCATGATAGTTAAATTATGATTGAGTTTGGATAGAGAATCCGCAGGGAAGTTGGCTTCCTTGTAAACATGCGAACGTTTGAACTCCTCACATTGTCTACAAAGTGCCTTGAGGTTTTTCACATTAACTTCAAGGTTCCAAGGAGGTTCTGCTGAATTGTTGAGCCATTGTATGAGCATAGCAGAATCATCTTCCAGACAGATCTGATTAAAACCATTCTCCAGACATTATTGCATTCCCATCACTACTGCTATTGTCTCTGCTAGGTTATTGGTTCCTTCACCTAAAGGCTTAGCTAAAGCATGTATCAAGTTGCCCTCAGAATCCCTGATAATGGCCCCAGCTCCATTCTTTCCTGGATTACTGAGTGCGCTACCATCACTTTTAAGTTTGACAAAGCTACTCTCAGGCTTCTACCATTTCACTTGCAGGATGTTGGCATGAAATTGCAGGTCTTTAACCAAGGGATAAAGATCACTCCATTCAAATGGCCAGGTGATGGTAGGGTAATTAGCTTTGAGGAGAAGGTTGGTATCATATTTAATGGAGAAAAGAACTCTGAGCCTTGAGGATTTCTTTGCTCCATATTTCGCACTACACCTATTGTTCCATAAGTTCCAACAAATAATGATAGGAAGGTATCCAACAGTAAGTTGTGTACCTCATTCTTGCTTTTTTGAATCCATCATTTCATCAGGAGCGATTGAAGAGGCATGTCATGTAGGGAAAAACCAGCTAGAGCAGTAAAGACTTTCCAGATGGCTTTAGCAAAATGACCCCTGCTGAATATGTGGTCTACTGACTCTGCATATTATCTGATGCAACGCACACATATAGTGACAATAGGATGTCCAAAAGATATAACTCTATCATCAGTAGGTAGTTTGTTTCTGAGTGCTCTCCAGAGGCAGAATGACCATTTGAAAGGAATCTGTTTATGACATGTCATCTTGTTGGTGAAGAGAACCTCTTTCCTCTTCCTAATTATACCCCAAGAAGAAGCATATATGAAGTTCCCAGAAGTAGTAGGAGTCCATGTTGGTATGTCAGGTTTATGAGGTAGGTAGTTGATGGAAACTTGAAGAATTTCTCTGATTTTTTGTGACGGGGCACAAGTATTGAGCTTCTGAATATTCCAGCTCCCTGAAACCTAAAAATGAGATACATGAATATTTCCAAGTCTACCTCCTTCATTTGTGAAAATTTTCAAAGGACCTGTGCCTAACCAATTATCCCACCAGAAACTGGCTGTTCCAGAATGTAGCCTTCACAGGATGTGAGGTTCAACTTCTTTTTTGTTGATCATCATCTTTTTCTAGGTTTGATATTGTCAAGAATTCCATTTCTTGGATACTGTATATGACCTCTTACAGTACTTATCCCTAAGAAGCTTACTCCATAGGGATTGTTTAGTTCTAAAGGACCACCATTGTTTGAATTCCGTAGACTTGCACACATCAGCAGTTGTTCTAAAGCCAACACCTCCTTCCTCAAGTGGATAGGACATTTTATCCCATGAAGACCAGTGATATATATTTTTATATTTGTCCATACCCCAGAAAAAGTTAGCAGCCTCTCTCAATTTGCTTCATAACAGATTTAGGAGGTGACACAGCTGAGAGAAGATAGATGGGTAGAGATTGCAACACATGTTTGATCAGGGTAGCTTTTCCTCCATAGGAGAGCATTCTACCATGCCATCCTCTAATTCTGCTAACTACCTTGGAAATTAAGTCATTGAAATGTATGATTCTCTTCCTGCCAATGTAGAATGGGCATCCAAGGTAAGTGATTAGAAATTCCCTTCTGGTAAAACATGTAATCTGTTGAATTCTATTGACATTGTACATGAATACACAAGATGGAGTCATGAAGTGACTCTTGACCTTTTTTATTTTCTGCCCTGAGGTGTTTTCATAATCCTCCAAGATCTTCATGATTATCAATAATGACACCCTGCTCCCTGATGTGAAGATGATCACATCATCAACAAAGCTCAGATGATTAAGACCCCTATTCTCCATATAGAACCCATTTAAAAATTGATCATGAGTGAGTTTGTTGAGTATTTGGGCAAGTAGTTCTGCCCCAATAATGAAGAGAGATAGATACAGTGGGTCTCCCTGCTTTAATCCCCTAGTAGACTTGAAGAAGCCATGCCTGAAACTATTAATAACCACAAAAAACCAGTTGTTGGACATGATTCTCTAGATCATGTCAATGAGGAGTTCGTTAAAACCCATTCTCCTAAGCATAAGGCAAGTAAATGCCCAGGACACCCTATCATAAGCTTTTGCCATATCTAGCTTAATGACCACATTAGCTCCAATATTTGGTTTCGTAATTCCTTGGACAATTTCTTGAGCAAGCATAATGTTCTCTGAAATGCTTTTCCATTTGACAAAACCAGACAGATTAGCTGAGATGATGTGTGGCAGTATGGATGCAAGTCTGGTACCAATCAGTTTAGAGATGATTTTGTTGATGAAGTTACTTAGGCTTATGGGTCTAAATTCAGTCAAAGAGTTAGGAAATTCCACCTTGGGTAAAAGAATAAGGCATGCTTGGTCATGTATCTGGGCATCTCACTTCCTCCAAAAAATGCAAGAACCACCTTTAGCAAGTCATTTTTAATCACTTCCCAGCAGGATTGAAAACATTTGCCATTCATCCCATATAGGCCTGCAACACTGGTTGGGCTCATGGAAAAAACAACTTGTTTAAGTTCTTCCATATCAGGATCTCTGGAGAGTTCAGCATTGTCTTCATTAGTGATCATGGTTGGAATAAAATTGAGAAGATCCTCTATAATATGTCCTCAAGGTTCAGTGATGAGTTCTTCAAAATAGTCACAAGCAGCTTCCTCAATAGCTTCATCACCCTGAATCCAATCTCCTTCTTTATCCTTGATTTTGTGGATGAAAATTTTTTTTCTTCTACCTCTGATCAAACTGTGAAAGTAGCTGGAGTTAGCATTACCTTCTTTGAACCATTGTAGTTGTGTCTTCTGTTTCAGTACCTCCTCTTCATGTTTCAAGTGTTTAATGTACTGAGCTTGAAGTTCAGGTAAGGTAATCCTATTAGTTAGATCATTGGTAGTAGCCCATTTCTCTTCTGCTAACTTAACCTTCTGTTCATACTCCTTTGATTTCTGAAAGATGTCCCCATATTGCTGTCTAGACCATTTACTTAAAGCACTAGACAAGGCTTTATGTTTTTGGTGAAAGACCCACATTGGACTTCCTGTAACCTGCATGCTCCACACCTCTAGAACCAGTGGCATGAAACTTTCATTCTTCACCCAGCAGTTTAAAATCCTGAAGTATTTCTTGGTATTATCTTGTCTCACATGCATTTCCATTAGGAGAGGTGAATGGTCAGAACTTGCTGAAGCCAAATGTGTGACAATAGTAGTAGTAGGGAAAGAGGTTAGCCAGTGATCATTAACAAGACACCTGTCCAATCTCTTCCACACTATAGAACCAAGTCCTCTTCCATTAGACCATGTGTATCTTGGGCCATAAAAACCAAAATCAGTTAAACCACATTCTTCAATCATGCTGATGAAATCAATACTCTTCTTCATTTGGTATGGTATCCCTCCAATCTTCTCACCCATAGAAGTAATGACATTAAAATCTCCAATCACACACCAAGGCACAATGCAAAGAGTAGATTTTAGTTTCAAATTCTCCCATAGAGGAATTCTCAGAGAAAGTTTACATTTTACATATATCACAGAGACGTGAAAGGTATCTCCAGCTTCTACATGCTTTATCTCAATTGTCATTTGTTGTTCATCTTGGTCCAAAAGAGTACTAGTGAACTCCTGATCCTAGAAGATCCATATTTTGTTGCTACTATTGGAAGCAGCTTGGCTCATTGACAACTACATTCTGAAGTAGTCAATATGGATGTTATAAGAATGATTGGTTGACATATTTGGATTATGAAGGAATGGTTCTAGGATAGTAATGAAGGATAATTTGTTGATTTGTTTTAGTATTTTGAGTCTCTCAATAACCCCAGAGGTTCTGATACCTCTGACATTTCAAGTTATTATGCTGCTCATTTAAAGATGATAGGGGATTTGGATTTTGGTGGAACAGAACTACTGGAAGCAACTCTACTTCTGGTGAGTCTGGGTGAGGGTCTCTTTCTTAGTGATCTAGTTTGGGAGGCTAAAACATTGTCTTGTTCAGTTGCACCATTCACAGCTGCAACCAGAAGCTCACAATACTGTTCTTCATCTATCCCTTTGCTAGGATCATCCTCATCATCAGAGTATATGCCTATTTCATCTTCTAATTGTATGGGTCTATACTCATCCTCTTCATGGCCAGGTGTTTCTGTTGGTATAATCTTGCTAAAAGGATCATCCTTATCAGTTGCATCATGTGATACTTCAACAGGGATGATACCTTTGTTGGGTAATAGGGGTTAAGAATGAGGTAGGTTGTCATTCTGATAAGCAGCTAGTGGGACTGTATACCCTGTAGAAGTTAACTGATTGGCTTCCTCAGGCCTTCCTGTGTCTGTTCAGTAATGCTGATTCCTGCATTCTTCTTTATCATAGCTTTTTTTTTCATGTCTAGGTTTGTTATTGGATTTGGGGAGTTGAGTTTGGATATCTGAAGCAACATGACCTTTCCCTTTGATAAACCTCCTCAAAGCCTATTCCTCCTCACTAGAATAGATCACTTCATAGTGTTCCTCGTCATTGGTAACCTCTGAAGCAACTGCATTCCCATGTGTAAGAGTATTGGTAGCAGGGGTTAAAGAGTCAATCCTATGGTCATTCACATGTGTTGAAGCACACCCATGCAAAACATGAGGAAGCCCCCCTTTGGATCCCCATCCTGCAAGGTTAGAGTGTTCTCCTGACAATTCTTCATTCCTCCATTGACTTCCTCAACAATAATATTAAGGGGTGGGGAGGTGTATGACATTTCTGAATTTTAGAAATATCTCCTTTCTCTAGAGCACTTGGAGGGTCTTTCAAGGTTGTAGTATTTATACCTGATGTTTGGCTCTCTTTATCCTTTTGGTGTTTAGTAGTCTCATTTGCCTGCAACTGTTGTTATATATTCCTTTTTGGTATGATAGGTTGGAGCTGTTTTTTATTTTGTTGTTATGGCCCTTTGAAGTGTTTCTTCTTTTTGTTTTGCCATTCATTGTTTGGAGAGGTAACACCTGACTTTTGCTGTTCCTGGCCCTTTTGATTACTATCAACTCTAGTTCTTCTATCCTGCTTCTCCTTTTGAATACTCTGATTTTGTGATGAAGTTTGCCCCACATAGAGCTGCGTTTGTTTGGTTTCCTAATTGCCCTCAATCATAGCATTCTCTTTCCTTTTCTTGTTCTCCTCATCCTATATTCTAATTGGGCATGCATGTGAGTTTTGGTCCTGGTGCCTACAATAAAGACAGTAATCTGGGATATTTTCATACTTTACTTCTAATCACTTCCCATCCCCATTTTCATCTTCATCAATTACCAACCACACATGATATGGTCTTGGCTTGGTCAAATCAATCTGCATCTTTATCTTAGCTACACTTCCTTTAGTCTTTTGAAATGAAGCCAGATCCAAATGAAGAGCTTTACCTACTGGAGATAGGAGGACAGTTGATATCTCTATGTAATAAAAATACCAAGGTAATTCTAGAACCACCACCCATATCAGAACAATGGGTGAGTCTTCAGCTGGGTTAAAAGTGGGTGTCCATGCTTCCAACTTCATCATTTGACCTTGGATATACATGAATTGTCTAGTCCATACAGTGACATGATCATATTCATTATCAAGATCAATGTAAACTGTTCTTGCATTAAAATGAGCAATCTTGACACCCCTTTTTAGTTCTGTTTGTGACACAAAGCTTCCCCTAATAGTCTCCATTCTATGCATGGTGTTTGAAAATTTTCCCACCATTGTGAATTTGCATCTTGCAGCTAGTTTGACCATATATTGAAAATAATTGCTGGTTGAACTTGCTTGGTAGTAATTTTAGGAGGGGTAAACTCAATTGGTTCATGTTCAGCTTCATGCCTTGCCCTCAGTTTGGTAACATAAGAATGTTTGATTGTGGGTGGAGGTGGTGCTGGTAAGCTAGATGATTGTTTAGGTTTAGCATTGGTGTCATTTGGTTTTTTATTAGTGGTGGTAGTAGTGGGTGTTTGCTTAGGATAAGGTTGTGATACAGGAGGTTTAGTGTAAGATGGTTTGTCAAAGTTTGAGGAGATCTTAGGAATGGTACTTTTTGTAGTTGCTGGCTGGTGTTTAAGAGGTACTTGGTCTATGAAAATTAGTTGGGTTCTTCCTTCCAAACTCTGTTGAATAACAGGAGGGGTCTCCTGATTAATGTTGATCAAGGTTGCAAATTTAGGTTCATTACCATTAGCAGGGCCTTCTTTATTGGCATCAGTTGGTCGACCATGCTTAGATTTTAGTTGTTCATCTTAGTTGGCAGATATAACTGAAGCTGAGGGCAATGATACATGAGATTGCTGTGGTTGCTTGGGGATGTTTGAATCAAGTTCCTTTGATGCATTCTTCTCCATTTGCTAGCTTAAAGTGGCCTGTACAATTGGCACACCATACTCCACCAACTGAAGTTCTGTTGGAGGAGACATTACATGATCATCAATTTGGAGTGGTCTTCCTTGGTTTTAGTACTTGACTACTAACTTCAACACCACTTTGGTACAGTTGAATACCACTTTGCTCCTTTGCATTGTTAGTTAAATTGTCAGTGGTATTATATCGAACACCTGGTGCCTGTAAGTCTGCAGATTTGGTCTTTTGAATTGCTGTGACAGTTAGCTCAATAAAGTTGTTGTTTCATAATTTGGTACCAATCTCCTCATCAAGTGGAGTCAATTGGCATTGGTCTTGGCCAATTTGGGTACTTGTAATACCATGCCCGACCCTATGGTGGTCATCGACATTTTTCTTCTCCTCGACCACGAGGGTTCCAGTGGTGGAAGGATCTGAAATTTTGTGGGTCGATGTTATTTGAGTTGGAGAGAAACCTCTATGGCTTGGATGCACTATATTTGGCCCAGAAACAAGTTGCGATTTTGCAGAAAAGCCCAAGCAATTTTTTGCTACAGTATTCACTCCACCTTTTTTGAAATCTGTAGCTGCTGGGGATGAATTGAGGGGGGCGTCCAGTTGGGGTTTATGCGCATTGGAAACACGCTTCTTTTTAGCGTAGTCTGGTGGTTTTCCACCACCGGACGGTGGAGTAGTGTGTATTCCGACGTGACAATTTACAGTTCACCAGTGTCTTCTGTACGGAGAGAAAATTTTGATATTTCGGTGGAGTGTTCTTTTGAATTGATGTATTTATTGTTTAAGATCGTGTATTTGGATTATGCTATAGATTCAATGATTTATTGCAGTTATAGAAAATTTATAAATACCAAACCATGGCAATTAATAAATATGATTTTAAAGTTACTCTTTTCATAAAAGGGAATTTTAATGGACACATTGGAACGACTGCTGGGGGTTATGGCGAGGTGCACAACGGTTTTTGTTTTGGGGATAAAAATGGAGGAGGAACTTGACTGTTGAATTTTTCTAAAGCTTTTGATTTGGTAATAGTGAACTCTAGTTTCTAGAAGAGAGAGGATCAATTGTTTACCTTTCAAAGTACGGTGGCCAACACGCAAATTGATTCTCTCCTCCCCAGGAAGTGTGATAGAAGTCTATGCACGGCTTACAAGGTCATCCCAAGTGAGAACCTCGCGACCCAGCATAGGCTTTTGGTGATGGACTTAGAGATCATGTTGAGAAGGAAGAAGAGGGTTGCGTGGGGTTGACCGAAGATTAGTTAGAGTGTCTTGACTAAAAATAAAGCTCAGGAATTGGGGGAGATATTTCTGGCTCTATGGGGGCTTAGAGGAGTAGGGGGATGTGAGTAGTATGTGGACCAGGATGGAAAACTGCATTAGGGAAGCTTCGAAAGAGGTATTAGGTATCTCGAAGTGTTAGTTTGGTTGTGAAAAAGGGGACTGTGATGGAATGAAAATGTTCAAGTAAAAGTAGAAGCCAAGAAAGCGGTGTTTCTGAAGTTAGTTGAGAGCACATACGAGAAGAGAAGAGGACGAATAGAGAGTGGTATAAGAAGGCTAAGAAGGAAGCAAAGTTAGCAGTTACGGAAGTTAAGACTGTAGTGTTTTATCATTTTTATGAGGAACTAGGGGACAAAGGCAGGGACAAGAAGCTATTTAGCCTGGCCAAGGTGAGAGAATAGAAGGCTCATGATCTGGACCAAGTGAGGTGCATCAAAGACAAGAGAGGCACATCTTGGAAGAGGCACAAATTAAATGAAGATGGCAAACATACTTCTTTAAACTCCTAAATGAAGAGGGGGACATGAACATGTGATGGGTGATTTGGATCACTCCAAAAGTCGTCGAGTCTTTGGGTATTGTAGGCACATAAATATTAAGCAGGTTGTGGGGGCTATGCATAAGATGAGTCAGGACAAAGCGACCGGTCCATATGAAATTTTGGTGGTACTTTTGAGATATGTGGGTAGGGCAGGCTTGGAGTGGCTGACTGGGTTGTTTAACATCATTTTTAGGATGAAGAAGATGTCCGAAGAAAGAGCTAGAGTATGATGATTCTGTTATACAAGAACAAATGTGATATCCAAAAATTATAACAACTATAGGGGTATTAAGTTGCATAGTCATACTTTAAAAGAATGGGAGAGAGTGGTGGAAGTGAGGGTAAGGAGCACTGTATCTATTTCTGAGAACCAATTTGAATTCATA